GATTAAATTCTTTGTCTCTAAGATTTCTTATTCTTTTTAATAACATCTATTTCTTTGTTGAATTTCTCATTCATGAACTCAAGAATTATTTTGATTTCATTGAATTGTCTACTTGTATTCTCTTTCGTCTCTCTTGGCTTTCTTAAGATCATTATTTTAAATTCCTTTTCAATAAACTCATAAACTTCTGCAAATTTGGGGATCAGACGGGGAAACTCTCACGTTTCTTCAGTAGCATTGTGTTCCTTTTTTCTTTCATGTTTCTGGTATTCCCTCATTAATGCTTGTGCATTTTCTGGTACAGTCAGTCTCCTCTTCCAAATGTCAGAGAGTGACTTTCATAGGGGAAAGCTTTTACCTGATGATGGGCCTGTGAGCAACATTTGGACAGAGTGCAGTGGTTCTGGTACTATGTGAATGCAGTGTTGTAGTCTCCATAGAGCTTCTTCAGCTGAGATTAGTGTTCGTGATGACTGTAGATGCCTTAGTGGCCTGGCTGCAGGAATTTGTGTCTGTGACATTTACTGTGTAGGCTATTATGACAAGGGCTTTAGAGATCCTACTGTCCTTGTCTTTCTGACACTAGGAAGTCTTAGCTGAAGAGACCTTTGTTGATATTAGGTCTGACATGGTTCACAGGTAGTCAGTGACACTGGGATTCAGGGCATAATATCTATTTTAATGCCCTTGGGCCACAGAAACATAAAATTAAAATACTCTAGCATTTCACTTAAACAATGTATGCCACCTTAATTCAAGCACACTTTTTGACTTGAATAAACTATAAATCTTAGTTTAGGATAGTAAACTAAGTCAAAGAGGTTCAATGAGACTGACATTGGCATTTGCCTTGAAGATGCAACTTGCTATAATTATCTTTGACTATGCATAACATTTAACAAAAATGTAGGTCCATGGCCAGGAGCAGTGGCTCACACCTGTAATCCCAGCACTTTGGGAGGTGAGGCAGACAGATCACCTGAGGTCAAGAGTTTGAGATTAGCCTGGCCAACATGGTGAAACCCTGTCTCTACTAATAATACAAAAGTTAGCCAAGAGTGGTGGCAGGCACCTGTAATTGCAGCTACTTGGGAGGCTGAGGCATGAGAACCACTTGAAACTGGGAGGCAGAGGTTACAGTGAGCCAAGATTGTGCCACTGCACTCCAGTCTGGGAGACAGAGTAAGACTCTGTCTCAAACAAACAAACAAAAAAAGTAGATTTGTAAACCAGCAGAAAAATATCTAGACTATTCAAAGCACATTATTACAAACAAAAATAAAATATTTTTCTTCACTTTGTTTTTTCCAACTTGTATCTTAGGTTCGGGGGCACATGTGCAGATTTGTTAAATGGGTAATTTGTGTGTTTCAGGGTTTGGTTTACAGATTATCGAGTCACCCAGGTAATGAGCGTAGTACCTGATAAGTACTTTTTGATCCTGACCTTCCACATCCTGACCTTCCACACTCTACCTTCAAGTAGTCCCTGATGTCTTTTGTTCCCTTCTTTGTGTTCATACGTCCTCAATGTTTAGCTCACACTTAGAAAGATAAACATGGAGTATTTGGTTTTCTGTTCCTGCATTAATTTGCTTAAGACAATGGTCTCCACCTCCAACCATATTGCTGTGAAGGCCATGGAATTCTTTTTATGGTTGTGTAATATGCTGCAGTATAGAAGTACCAAATTTTCTTTATCTAGTCCACCACATGGGCATTTAGGCTGATCCTATGTCTTTGCCAAATTTCCTGAGGCCTCCTCAGAAGCTGAGCAGATGCCATCCTCATGCTTCCTGAACAGACTGCAAAACCATAAACCAGTTAAATCTCTTTTATTTATAAATTATCCAGTCTCAGGTATTTCTTTATACAGTGGGAAAATTGACTAATGTCCTTTTCCCATTCCTTAATGGTTTTTGTTTGTTGAATTGTTTAAACTTTTTATAGATTCTAGATATTAGATCTTTCTTTGACGTATAGTTGGCAAATATTATCTCCAATACTCTAGGTTGTGTGTTTACTCTATTGATAGTTTCTTTTGCTGTCCTGAAACTTTTTAGTTTAATTGCACTTGTCAGTTTTTGTTTTTGTTGCAATTGTTTTGTTTTCATCATGAAATCTTTGCCAGGCCCTATGTCCAGAATGGTATTTCCTATGTATTCTTCTAGGTTTTTTATAGTTTTAGGTTTTATATTTAAATATTTAATTTATGATGAGTTGATTTTTATATATGGTGAAAAGAAGGGGTTTGGTTTTAATCTTCTGCATATGGCTAGACACTTATCCTAGCACCATTTATTGAATTGAGTCCTTTTACAATTGCTTGTTATTGTTAACTTTGCCAAAGATTAGATATTTGTAGATCTGCAATTTTATTTCTGGGTTATCTAACCTGTTCCACTGGTCTATGTGTCTTTTTCTGTTCTAGTACTACGCCATTTTAGTTAATGTAGCCTTGTAGTATAGTTTGAAGTTGGGTAATATAATGCCTCAGACTTTATCCTTTTTCAGATTGCTTTGGCTATTTGAACTCTTTTGTTTCATATGAATTTTAGAATACTATTTTTCTACTTCTGTGAAAAATGTCATCTGTAACTTACTAGGAATAGCATTGAATCTGTAAATTGCTTTAGGCAGTATGGCTATTTTTACAATATTGATTCTTCCTAACAATGAGCATGGAATGTTTTTCCATTAATTTGTGTCATCACTGATTGCTTTCAATAGTGTTCTGTAATTTCAATTGTAGAGCTCTTTTACCTCCCTGGTTAGGTGTATTTCTAAGTATTTTATTCTTTGAATTGCTAATGTGAATAAAATTGCATTTTTTATTTGGCTCTTAGCTTGGACATAATTGGTGTATGGAAATGTTACTTATTTTTGTACATTGATTTTGTATCTTGAAACTTTGCTGAAATTATTTATCAGATCTAGGAGCCTTTGGGCAGAGACTATGGGGTTTTCTAAGTATAGAATCATATTATCTGCAAAGAAAGAGAATTTTACTTCCTCTTTTCCTCCTGGATGCTGCTTTTCTTTCTCCCAACTGATTAATCTGGCAAGGACTTCCAGAACAATGCTGAATAGGAGTAGTGAGAGTAGACGTCCTTGTCTTGTTGTGGTTTACAAGGGGAATCCATCCAGCTTTTACCTATTCTGTATAATATTGGCTGTAGATTTGTTATAGATGAGTCTATTTTGAAGTACATTCCTTTGATGACTAGTTTGTTGACAGTTTTTAAATGAAGGAATATTGAATTTTATTGAAATCATTTTTGCATCATTGAAATAATCATGTAGCTTTTGTTTTTAGTTATGTTTATGTGATGAATCACATTCACTGATTTGCAGATATATGTTGAACCAACCTTGCATTCCAGGAGTAAAGCCTACTTGATCATGGCAGATTAGCTTTTTTATGTGCTACTGGATTCAGTTTGCTAATATTTTGTTGAGAATTTTTGTATCTATGTTCATTAGGAATATTGGCCTGAAGTTTCCTTTTTTTCACTGCATCTCTGCCAGAGTTTGGCATCAGAATGATGCTTGCCTTATAGATTGAGTTAGGGAAGAATCCATCCCCTTCAACTTTCTGAAATACTTTCAGTAGGAATGGTACCAACTTTTCTTTATATTGGCAGAATTCACCTGTGAATTCATCTGGTTCAGGGCTTTTTCCGGTTGGTAGGTTTTTATTACTAATTCAGTTTCGAGACTCCTTATTGGTCTGTTAAGTGTTTCAATTTCTTCTTGGTTCAATCTTAAGAGATTGTATGTTTTCAGAAATTTGTCCGTTTCTTCTAGGTTTGCTACCTTGTGTGCATAGAGGTATTTGTAATTGTCTCAGGATTTTTTACATTTCTGTGGAGTCGGTGCTAACGTCCCCTTTGTCATTTCTGATTCTGTTTATTTGATCTTCTCTCTTTTTTTAATAGTCTAGCTAGTAGCCTATCAATCTTTATCCTTTAAAAACTCAACTTTTGGTTTTACTGATCTTTCATATGATTTTTTTACCATCTCGATGTTGTTCAGTTTAGATCTAATTTGGGTGATTTCTTCTATTAGCTTTGAGGTTGGTCTGCTCTGGTTTTTCTAGTTCCTCTGGGTGTGATGTTAGGTTGTTAATTTGAGATCTTTCTAACCTTTTTGTGGGAATTTATTGCTATAAAGTTTCCTCTTAACACTACTTTAGCTATGACCCAGAGATTCTGGTATGTTGTACATTTGTTTTCATTCAGTTCAAAGGATTTCCTGATTTCCACCTTAATTTCACTGTCTACCCAAAAGTCACCCAGAAGCAGATTGTTTCATTTCCATGTAATCATATGGTTTTGAGAGAGCTTGTTGATATCTCTACTTTGATTTCACTGTGGTCTGAGTGTCACTAGTATTTTTTTTTAATTTGTTGAGAATTGCTTTATGGCTGAGTACATGGTTAGTTTTTAGAGTATTTCCCATATGCAGATGAGAATTAATATTCTGAGTTTTCTGCTTCAATGATTTAATACTGTCAGTGTGGTGCTGAAGTCTCCCACTATTATTGTGTATTTACCTAAGTTCTTCACTTAACATATTTAATTTGGACTATAATTTGCACATTTTATCTGTGTACATGAATTCAAATATTGTCCCTTCATTTAACCCATTCTTCTGTTTTCAAAAGACAGATGCTAGTATATCTATATCCATCTAACTGTGCATTTTAAGTCACAATTAGCATTTTGTCTTTTAAGGAAAATATAAGGAGTGATTTTAAAAAAGAAATATTTTGGTAATATTTAAACTGAAATTAACATGATATAATATTTCAAAATATCTAAGCAGAGTTAAAATTCCAACTATTTCAAAATTACATTTAGACAAGTTATTCTTAATAACACTCAATCTTTTGGCTCTCCCCGTAAGAGTATTACAGAATCAGAAAAAAAAATGTAACATTCACTTATTCATTTTGATTGCAGTTTCTAATGTCATTTGCCCTGTGCATCCCAACTTCACCTTGTCAGAGAGTACTGCTTCCCCAAGGCTGCTCCAGGGTCCTGTTGACGGATTGCTCTAATTGCAGTTGGTGCTGTAAACAAGGCAGCCACTCCATGCTCTGCAAGCACACGGAAATAAGCGCCAGCATCTGGTGTTCCCACAGGCTTCCCCTACAATGAGATTCATTTAAAATGTCACAGGGTAAAACGTCTCATATTTCACTGGCAGTTCAATAGTTATACATTTAACACAGCAATATTAATAAAATGGGGTTTTCAAAAAAATCTTAGTTTTAAAATATTTCCATGTTCTGCCATAAATAAAGCAAACCAAATACCCAGGCATAAGAGAACTGTTTACCCCATTATAGTATCCTAAAAGTTTTCAAATTATAATTTTTTCTTTATCAAGTTTTGAAAATTAAAGAATTGAAAATATATATCACATTCAAATTAAGAACATAAAACATTCTGTATTTGCCAAAAAAAAAAACTAAATGAGGTTTTTATGAATTTTTAACTTTATTTTTCATGATCACTATTAAAAGTGGCAACAGTATTTCTCAAAACATTTGAGAAAACAGAAAATTCTGAAAAAGCAGTGATTCTTGAGCAATGACCTTTTCAGTTAAATGTCTCACTCCAAGAAAAGTAACTCCTATGAAATAAATGTAATCCAATAAGATATGCCACAGTCCTTGTTTTCCATAGACTCGAAATAGCATTATATATGTTCAGGGGAAAATCATGCATAAAAATCTAACAATTTTGGCAAGCTATACAATTCAGAAAACAAAAGAAAGTTTTATTTGATGTTTCTAAAAAGTGGAAAACAGGCAAGTTTCTGAACTAAATCAGTAACTCTCCAAACATTCTAACTCATAAAATGTATTTTGGCCAAGCCACATCCCCTCCCCCTCCTTCCGTAATCAATCCTCATCACTGCTACCTCTTCCTGTGTTTCTAAAGATGCCTGGAATGGTAATATATATTATGTGAGATATATAATCTATATATCTATACACACACACACACACACACACAGAGAGAGAGAGAGAGAGAGAGAGAGAGAGAGAGAGAGAGAGAGAGAGAGAGAGAGACATTGCACAGCCAAACTCTTTCATGGAATTTGGGGGTAAACAAATGGCAATAGGTTTTTAAAATCTTAGATCATTTCTTGAAACCTTGAAAGGGTTGAAATGCATTACTAATTTCTAAGATATAGGTAACTGTATCTAATATTTCCTAAACCTCTCTAAATAAATTCTCTATCTCAGTTTCCCATGAAACTCTGGAAATCACATGTAGGAAACACTGAACTAAAGAAAAAAGAGGGAAGAATTTGCTAGTGGCAAACTCAACAACGTCCCCAAACAGAAAATAACAAAAGAACGAATGATATCTTGACAGTTAGACCTAGTTTTTTTTTTTTAATTTAGAAAAAGGAATGCATAATAAATGAGGTATAGTACAGTTGTCCAATAATTTAGAGGCAATACCCATTGATCAGATCATTGATTGGACACAATTTTTTTTATTTTTAAATGGTTGTCTTCAATATTCTTTAGTGTAATTATGTTCCTATTTTCTTAAAAAAAACTATTTAAGTCTGTTTTATATTCTATTGGTTTCTATTATTCTCTTTTAATACCAAAAAAGTATTTGTTGCAATTGGAAATTCATTTCTATTAGTCACAACTATCCAAAGCACTATTTCAATGTATTTCATTACTGCTTTATACAAAACACATGCAAATAATATTAAAAGCTGCAAAATATAACTTGGTAATAGATGTACATAATTTCACTCACAAATTTTGAAACCTTTAGTACATCAGTACTAAGTACTGCAACTTTATTATTTCTAAAAAGGTAAACATTTTATTTTTACTCTTTTGATATGTCTCAGGACTGATCAGTCCCTTGAGTTCTAGATTGTGACTTAGGTAACATGATCTCACCCACATGAAAATGATTTATTAACTGACCTTGTGCAATTGACTTACGCTGACTATGCTTCCATTTACTTGCCTGCTAAATGAGAATAAATCATTTTACCAATATTTTCTCAATAAGGTAAAGGCACTGAAATAATATTGAAGGATAATTTAACCTCCACTGAAGAAAGATACTTTGTAGCCAATCAGAATTTAATTCCACTACAGTGCTAGTGTCATGAGAAAATAATTACTCACTAAAGGGTGATATTAGTATCATAATTAAAATGATACACCATGTAAGACTACCTACATAGAGGCCACAGTATTTTACTCTGCCTCCAACTACATATGTTTAATGATAACAATAAGGGCAGATCAAGTATTAGAAATACAGTCCTATGCCATATAGCAGTGTTTAGATGATTATGATACCATATTTTTGGGGGCTTTGTTTTGGTGTTTGAGACAGGCTTGCTCTGTTATGCAGGCTGGAGTGCAGTGGCGCGATCTTGGCTCATACAACCTCCACCTCCCCAGTTGAAGAGATTTTCCTGCCTCAGCCTCCTGAGCAGCTGAGACTATGGTCATGCACCAGAAAGACACTGACTACAGCGGATGAGACAGCCCCTACAAGAATTAAGGATTTCAAGGAAAGAATAACTGTGCTGGGATTGCTCATACGGCAGGCACACACCAGTGTCAACTTGCTGTGATAGGCAAAATTTTGTCTGCTGTTTTCAGTGTCTTACCAGTTCATTGTTGCACTAACAAAAAGGCATGAATCACTAGGAACATCTTTTTTTTTTTTTTTTTTTTTTTTTTTTTTTTTTTTTTGAGACAGGGTCTCACTCTGTCACCCAGACTGGAGTGCAGTTGCACGATCTCGGTTCACTGAAACCTCTGCCTCCCAGGTTCAAGCAATTCTTCTGCCTCAGAATCCCGAGTAGCTGGGATTACAGGCACCTGCCACCATGCCTTGCTAATTTTTGTCTTTTTAGTAGAGATGGGGTTTTACCATGTTAGCCAGGCTGGTCTTGAATTCCTGACCTTAAGGCAATCTGCCTAATTTTTGTCTTTTTAGTAGAGATGGGGTTTTACCATGTTAGCCAGGCTGGTCTTGAATTCCTGACCTTAAGGCAATCTGCCTGCCTTGGCCTCCCAAAGTGCTGATATTACAGGTATGATACCATATTTTTACTGTACTTTTTCTATGTTTAGATACATTTAGCTACGTAAATACCACTATAATTGCCTGCAGTATTCAACATAGTAGCATTTTGCACAGGTTTGTAGCCTTGGAACAATAGACTGTACCATACAGCCTGGCTATGCAGTAGGCTATACCACTGGGTTTGTTTGAGTATATGCTAGTGATGCACACACAGAAAACCTCCTCAGGATAATTTCTCAGAACATATCTCCAATGTTAAGCAATGCATGACTGAATGAGTAAAAAACTACACCATACTTTTTAAAATATAGAATTTTAACTTCCATTGCAAATCTGATCCTGCACCAAACCAATTTTCATCAAATATTATACTTATGGAATATAAAAATTGTGATAATGTAGCATTACTATTAGAACGGTAAAGAAATGATTCATAAAATCTCACCATGTTCTTTCATAAGTTAATTGAACTTTGTGTTTTACTGTCTATTCCCCAGAAGATAATTCAATGTTATGAATGTTTTCCTATTTTAAAATTACTTTAATATTTATATATTTTACTTTTTTTCTTTCTGAAGACATTCTAGTTGCTATCAAATTACAACAATTGAGATATTAAAGAAATTATCCATTTCAAAAATAGCCTGATGATTAACATAAATATTGTCTTGAATAATGTAAACAACTTTACATAATATAATGCAGCACAGAACAAGATCTTTTATCAGAAACTATTGTTTACATACAAACAAATAGTAATAAAGTGGGCAACACTGGCATATTTAATAAATATTCTGGGAATAATTTTGTGAATAAGCCGGATAAAGTCTTATTTTAATGGAACATATATTATCATAAGTATGGATGTGTGTATGTATTTGTATGGAATATTAGAAATTACATAGATGCTGCAAGCTATTTGTGTCCAATAAACAGAAACAGTGCAGTAATAAACACAGAACATGTATGTTCTCAGTACCTACCACCACTAGTAGCTTCAGAAAACTGAAGCAAAGCCTGTAAGCATCTTTTATTATTAAAGCTAAATAAAAATGACTCAGTGGCTTATTGATTTTACTTAAAATTCTTCTCTCCTTCCCTTATGCACATGCACACACACACACAGACAAGCATGTACACATAAGCAATAAAATCTCTCACACTACCTTCTCAAAGTAGTCAGTAACACACTCAGCATACTGAGCTGCCTTAAGAAAATAACATTGATTCTAGAACTTGCTTTTCAGTAAGGGGCAATAATCCAAACAATATTCAATTTAAAAACAAGACGATTCTAAGAATGCAGGGATTTTAAACAAACAACATACACCAAAAGCAATAATGCAGCCAAAAATATCAACTTTAAAGTTCTTCAAGCTCGAATCAATGTGGTTACCAGTTGTTTAATTCCTTTTTTCCAAACTAAAGTCCACATTATTAGTTGCTTCCTAGATAATAAAGGCAGAAATGGATTTTTACAATGAAGAAGCCAAAATTCTAAGCTTTCAGCTGTGACAAATTATACAATTTTACTAGAGAGATTTATAAAACATCAGTTGCTAATATTAGCAAGAGTTATAATGTGGGCGACAATGGTATAAAGCACAGAAACTGAAACAGTTACCAAAATGCCTTAGTATTAACTTCCATATATAATTTTCTACCAGTTATGATTCACCGTATTATTATATATTATAGATGACAAGTCCCCAGTTCGAAAGCCAGTTAACTGTCTCACCACCTCACATATTTTCTACTGAGGTTAGGTTTCAACACAGGAAAGCAGTGAAATACAACCACTTAGCAAAATAAAGTTACAATTAAGCACTAGAGTTAAATTTTTGAGCAAAAAAAAAAAAAAAAAATCAATTGCTTTATTATTAATCCTATGATTCCATTTCTTCAAGGCTTGAGGTCAAGGCTACTTGTGATTTCACAGACAATGACATAAAAATTTTTGAGTCAGCTGTAGTTTTGCTCTATTTTTTTTTTTTTTTGCGGCAGGATTAGAAATACATATGGTCTCTTTCTGAACACTGCTTTTGAGAAATGTCACCCAA